TTATTGGAGAGGAGCAAAACAGGGGTGACGCTTCTTTATGTGCACAACAGTAATTTTGGTTTCTTTATCTTTAGAATTATTATTTTGCAAGAACACTATAATCCCATTTAATTCAATCGGGATCCAGCTCTCGATCGCAAGAATTGTATGGGAGTCGTCCTCGGAGGGACTTCCCGAATGACTGTAAGTCTGTATAGAGGAATTCTACTACGGTTGTTAGTTTTTTATGTATACATAACGTCTTTAGGGTTTAGGTGTTAATATATATATATTCATAAAGCATGTGGAAACCCTAGCAATACTTATAGATGTAAAGTAATTGTTGAACCATATAAATGTCAAGTTCAATTTTTCACATTTTATATGAATGTCTAATTAATTTCCCAACATGGGAACTTTTTGAATCTCTCGTTAAAAAGGTTTATGCAAAACTTATAAATAAATAACATATTTTGTTCCAGATAATGTTGTAAAGAAATGGTATGTGAATGAATGCGCACTATATATGTTGTTAAACGACTCACGTCAAACGTGACTCAATCAATGCACATCTTTTAACACATACTGAATAAATAGATATAGATGTGGGTAATATGCATACGCCTTTTGTCGGGAATCCTACTTGTCTTATCGCATATTATTAAAGTTAAAGACATACCCCTTTAAGAACATAACTATTTCCATCATTCAACCATTTTATTGTGAATTTATTATGATAATAACAGTGGAAATCTTGGTTTCTAAACCTTAAGTATAGTTAATCTTTGCAAGAAGTCAGTAATAACAATCATTAAACTGACAATATTACTCTCTTATTGTTTCATTTATCTACATACAAAAGCGTTGTTTAGGGTTTATGTCATACATATTTATGGAGCATGAGGAATCCATAGAAGTATTTATAGATGTACAATTATCGTTGATCAATTAAATATGTTATGTTCAATTTATTCCTGTTTTATACGATACAAACCAACTTTACCAAGAGAAACTTGTATCATCGTTGTAGTTTCAAATATATATATATATATATATATGGTTGTATAGAACAAATGATACGATGACACCTTTCGCGACCCTATTATTTACCCTATGACGGAGGAATGAAGTGGTAGCTTGTGCCACCATATCCAGCAGAGTGGATCCCCTTGTTACTGGTAATAGTCTAACACTCTCATTTACATTACCAGGTAAAATTATAGTCCATCAAAACAGAGTCGTATGCAATAATTTATCCGGTAAGCACTAAACAAGTAAGAGTTGTTACTCTCACTTACCAGATACAAGTCCCGGTCCTTGCCATCTTCATCCTGTTACGTAAGTAACCTGGTAAACGCTTACCGAATAAACATTTAGGGGCTGTTTGGCAGTTGCTGAATGATTTAGTGCAGAATAGTTAAGTGGTCAGAATGATTAAGAGGGCCAGAATGGTTAAGTTCTGAATGAAATAATGTTGTTTGGTAACTGTTCTCTGAATAAGAGTAAATTACCATTTTAACCCTTTGTGCATAAACCCATAATTTCAACATACAGTGTGCRTAAACCCATGAAATTGAAGTGCACATACAGCAGGCTTGTGAATCAATAACAATAAGGTATAACCAGGTTTGATAATCAATAACAATGGGTATAAGGTTCCTGAAATTTATGTTTGTTTCCTGGTATTTCAAGATCTGTTGTTTCAAGATACAGTAAAACAATGGGCAGAATAATACCTGAGCGAGGAAAAGGATGGAGGCGACCGGAGATGAGCGCCGACTGGAGACGAGCGGCGACGTGGAGCGGCGACTTGCTGCGGCGATGAGGGGCGACGTGGAGCAGCGACTTGCAGCGGTGACGAGAGGCGGCGACGAGGGGCGACGTGGAGCGGCGACGTGCAGCGGTGACGAGAGGCGGCGACTTGCGGCGGCGACGAGGGGTGACATGGAGCGGCGACTTGCAGCGGTGACGAGAGGCGGCGACTTGCGGCAGCGACTTGCGGCAGCGACGAGGGGCGACGTGGAGCGGCGACGTGCAGCGGTGACGAGAGGCGGTGACTTGTGGCGGCGACGAGCGGCGACGTGCAGACCGGCGACGAGAGGGTGGGGGAGGGGTTTGAGGACCGGCGACGAGAGGAAGGAGAGGGTGGGGGAGGAGCTGTGAGCGACGTGTGAGGAAGGAGAGGGTAAAATTGGAAAAAGAAGGATCTGAATGGTTGAGTGAACCCTTGGATGCAAAATGGTTAAGAGGGTGTTGTAACCATTAAGAGGCTTAATTTTTTTTGCCAAACACTCCTTACCTCTTACCGATTAAGAGGTTGGCTCTTAATGGTTACAAACAGCCCCTTAGTAAACTGACACATCTTAGCTTACAACTTCATAACAAGATCATCAAATATCCATAATCTTATAGGCATATTTTTTCACTGTTGAGCCTTCTATAGTTTCACACACAGACAACAGGAGTAGGTATAAGCAAAAATTACGACTATACCAAATCGAATCTTTATACCTTTCTCCATCCAGTCGGTTCACCTCCTCGACTCATCCATCAGCATAAGCCTATCGATCTTTAACATACGTTGGTGACATAATTGAAGTTTCAAACAGTCAATTCTATTAAGTCAAGTATTTCTCTGGGAAGAGGCCTCTTATGTGTACTAATACATCCCCTAAGCCTTAAACCAGTGTGTCACAACCCAAGTGGATTTCTTACAGGTTTTAGTTATACCAGCAGTGGTTCCCCTTATAGGGACTTTTCTGTGCCAATCATATCAGCATCATCAACTTAAAAATGGAAATGAATAAATTACAGTAGCACTCAATTCTGAAACAAGATAGATGTTTTGTCATTCGAGATCAAAGCCGATTATGAACCTCTTTTTACGTTTTATAAATACTCACAGTTTTGAACTTGTAGCTTTCTCTGTAACTGTTGATATCGTCATCGAAATCTTCTCAATACCCATTCATACAGCGGAGCAATAATCACAAGACTAATCTGCACATAATTCTATATAACCCTTCCATTATACAGCTTATTACCAAAATGTCAGGCTCACAAGTCACATCACTTGTTAGCAAATAATGTATAAAACAAAGTTTGAACTCTTCGAAGCTATATTTGCAGTAATCCATGAACAAAAATGGAAGTAAAACCTAGAAAGCTACCATGTATGACCAAGTGTCACTTCCAAATCACAGCTTACGACTGAATAAAAAGAATATTTAAATAATCGTTATAGCTACAAGAAGATTCAAAAGTAAGATTTCAAAAACATGTTCAAAGAATACGTTGTAGCATCTCTAATGGTAACACCAAATCTTACACATTGGAGACACCAACATGATTGTTTGGTAATGACTTAATAGTTAATAATATAACCTCAAATGGAGTGAACTAAGGGCCAACTTAAGCTTATTCAGTAAGCTTCTAGAAAGAAGTTTTATGCAGAAAACCAATTTTTTTCCAAACCCGTCTCATTCCATCCATAAAACCCAAACAAAAACCTTTTCAGTCTACAAAGACAGATTATTTCAAACAAGCAACTATATTCATACAAGGCTTAGTGAAAAACTAGTCAAACAACCCCTAGGTTATTAAAGTTTCAATAATTGTGATTCAATGTTCATAGATTAAGAACCAATTTATTGTTTCTATTTTGACCTTTTTGTAGCTAGAGAAGACGTATATGACATGAAAACTAATTACAGTAATCATAAAATTTACTGATAATTACTATTTCAGAGTTAAAGAGGAATTCAATCTCAAGTTACTAGCCATAACCGTAACCATACAAATCGACGTTATAAATGGAGATAAATCATCATTCGTCAACATGAATTTAACAATGATAATTCATGAATTGGACTAAAAGATTGCACCTATAATTAACATGACGATTCAAATCTAAAGAAAGTTCAGATAATCGAGTTACTATAAAAAGTGAATCCCGCTCGGTGATCTCCTACTCCAATTTTTGAGCAACAGCCTGAAAACGGAGAAAACCGATCGTCGGATACCTAAAAAATGACGGTAAAATAATGAGAAAAAGATCGAAGTTAGAATTGAAACAGCTTCTGAGCTCGTCGTTTCAGAGTTTCTAGGTCTGAAATTAAACGTGATGAAGAAACGTAGCAATTGGCGTGAAGAAAAAACGTCAGAGCGGTTTATATGGCATGGGCCAAGGGGGTCTCAAGGTTTGGGTTTGGCTTTGGAAAACATAATTGAAATAAATAAACATTTTTTTGTTCTTCTTTAACGGTGGGTGGGTATCCGAGACGGCTTACGTTGGTGCTACATCAGGACATGAGATCGTGATGTCGCTGAATCGGCACCATTTGCCACATTTTGACCGACTTGTAGACGTGATAGCGATGCTAAAACAGTGTTTTTAGGTGCTTGATTTGTCAGGTTTATTTAAACCAGTTATCATTGAGCTTGAAATCGTTGGGCATTTGTGAGGGCACTAGTTTAGTTAATTAGGTATAACGAATTGACCTAAAACAATCGACACGATTCCACCAATCTACGCGTTCATTAACTTCACAAATTGAATCCACCCACTAACGACAGTTAACAACAGAACATCACATGTTCGGTCTGAATAGAGGAGTAGTTGGTATGCACACAACACTACAATGGATGTATTATATGAACCGTATACCACCAATTTACAGTTGTGCTAACCGTATTTCAAGTCTCAACCATGATTTCATATTTTGACTGCAATAACAAAATAGCCACCAAATGAACAAACAAAAAATTGCTAGGACCGACCCATAGGCCTCTCGAAAGAATGCCACCATCACACCATGACCAGCTGTCATTAAAGCATAAAAGAAACCGTGGACTGATCAGAAAACCACGTATTGTGTCACGTCATCGATGCAAATAACGTGCCTAACATATCTCCGTAGGTAGTTGATGGCTCGAATACCCAACACAAATTGCCCCTTCTAAAGAATTTCATAATATGAAATTAGAGTAATATCACCAAAATATCCGCATATCCCGTCTTCTAAATTCTAAACTGATATGGTAGTAAATTTATTTCCCTCATAAAATATTGGTCAATAAATCCTTAATAAAGATATCTCATCCTCAAAAATTATACAAAAAATTAGGGTATTACATATAGACTCAATTGGTACATATCGTAGGTACGTATGCTTCGTCTACAGCATTTATAACTTACTCTTATTGCGGTGGAGGTGGCGGCATATGAGATTTGGCCATCCCTACCCATGCAACAAGCCCGGCTGCAAGGATTATCCACCCAAATATATCATACTTCAGATCACTGCTCTTCTTTTTCACAGAGCTCTACAACACATAACAACAATCAAACATTAGCCTCCATCATAACTAACAAATTTTGACAACTTTTACACCAAGAATACATATTATGGCCTTCTTTCTAGAATGAAAGATATTTAAAACTACATTATGGTGTTCTACTTTCATGAGTCGAAACAAGACTAGATGTTCAAGAGGTAATAACATATAATACCATATTTACAAGACGCCCAAAATCAGAATAACTCAAGGGTGTGTTAGGTACATGAACAAGATTGGACCGGCCAAAACTGAACGGGTGGGAGTGAGGTAGACGGATGAAAAAATTGTGGAAGGTTTTAGGTTTCTGTCATGTCTCGTGTACTAAACGCGCCCCAAAGATCTTGTTATAACAAACTAATAGCTGAACTAAATAAATTAAAACATCACGAGTAACCAATCCTATCATGTAAGCTATACTGCAATGCCACAAATATCAGCCTGCATAAGAAATGAGTTGTGCAGCTCCTAGGGTCAGAATCAAATCCCCATTTGGATGTCATCCCTTGGGGTCAGAATCACATCCCAATAAGGGCCATGGTCCCTTTGATTGTAAAGGGAACGTGGCACTATAGTTGGTACGAGTAAAAGAGCAAACTTAAATGATAGTGTCTTGAGGTAACCCATGGGTAGATAAGAGAAGAGAAGAGAAGTGAGAACAACTGGCTCAACTTCTAAGTATTGACGCAAAATAAGCAAAATTAAACGTATATTCTCAAAGTGCTATAAAACTTGCAGGACAAATACCAAACAGAAGGTACAACCTTTGCATTTGAAGATGCGCCAGATCCACCCAAAGACTGTTGGGCTTGAGCAAATCCACCTTGTTTGTGAATCTCATTGTGCAAAGCAGGTGCCTGAAAGATATTCGATTGACAAAATGGAAAAACCTCACCAGATTACATTCAAACAATGGAAAAGCATGATATCATGATTCACATATGAGGATCATTTGCCACTTTGTCGGTAATACTACCATTATCCCTACGCATGATGTGGTTTATCTTTAATGGTCTCAAAGCAAGCAATGCTGAGTCTAAGGCTTCACTCATGCAAGTAAATGTGCTGAAAAATATATCAGCTGAAGTCAAAGTTCTGCTGGATAAATGTTATCTTCCTGCTGGAAATAGACAAGGATTGTGGCAATTTTTTATGTTGGTCTTGACAGTTTTCTATGTTCTGGACAACTGTTTCTGTACGATTTTGATCTTATCCCTATGGCATATGGGTGTAATGTGCCACATTTTTATGAAGGAGATGTTTGCAGGATTGTTTAGATTGTAACCAGCACGTCTCTTGTTGTAAAACCATGTCCTTGCCATGATGTGAGGCAATAAAAAGGTCAGGAGTTTCCAGTAAAACTGTGACTTCAGATTTTCTTGTTTACACTGTATTCCTGCGTCTTAAACAAACTCATGTGTTCAAGTGCTTGGTTTGTTTGGCTAATTGATGCACAATTACACCATCAGAAGGGTAAAAATTGTTTCATAAAAGGTAAACATAAAACAGTCCATGTGACAGCTAATATGGAGTAATGACAATTTACATGTTAATGTCCACTAAAATCACCAAGATGACAATTTACATGTTAATGTCTACTAAAATCACCAAGAAGCAACATTTAACAGATAATCCTTCCTCTGCAGAGATGCTTGACAAATGTGCTGACTGAGGGATACTTCCCTTGAGGTTTACAGTAGGTGATACTTCTATTCTAACCAACTCTACTTCAGCCCCACTATGCATATGAGACATAACAATGTGTATTAATGAACCAGTGATGTAAAATTGGTTGCAGCCTCTTAATTGTCCCTCCAAATCTCTAAAAACAAACAAACAAACAAACTACAGAGATCACCAGCAATTCAGCATTATGTTGGGATGAGTATCTCAGTTTTTTACTCTATAACTTCCTTCAATCCTAGATATAATGAAAAATCATATCATCTCCTAAAACGGAAGCCTCGTAATTTGATAACATGGGGGCATGTCATGAGAAAGAAGACGAAAAAGAAGTAAGAGAGAGAGAATATAGAAATGTTGTCATGCTAATCCACAGTTGAAATTCTATTTCGTTAAATAGTATTTAATAAATTACTGCTAAAGCATGTGGAGAAACTAACAGTAGTTAGCTGCTTGCAGGCTTGCAGCAGGTAGCTGCAAGATTAAGTTTGTGATAAATTTGGGTGGTTTAGGGACAAATCATGGACTCGATATAGACAGACAATTTTGATTACCAAAAGTATAATTTCACCCAAATATTACTATATGCAGAGGGACTATTAAAACATACAATCTAGAGGGCAAGTAATGAAAATACAGAAAGAAACATGACAGTGCCCCAATTGAAACAAATAAACAAAGTTAAATGAATACCTTAGAGGAGTTTGCCAAAGATTGGAGGTAATGTTCATTCCCTGGACACTGGTACAACAATGTGATCCAAACATTCATAATTAAATCTAACAACCAATTAATATTTCTGATATCATATTAAACTTCTGCTTATCCGGACATAAAAAGCAAGTGAATAATACCTCTTCCACTGCCTTTTGAAAATATTCAGTTGCACAGTCAAATTGAATCTGAGCCTCATCATGGTCAATGGTTAAAAATCCATTAGTAGTGTGAGCATTTCCTAAGCACCACAAAGCCTCATGTTTCGCAGGATTGATAACCAAAGCCTCTTCCAGCTTGGAAACAGCATCTAAAGTTTGTTTATGGATTTTCCACCAAACATACGAATTCTTAGTAATTGCATATACACTTGTTCAATTAACAGCAAGATCACAGGCAGTGTTATCTGTCGAAAGAAACTGTTCAAGAATATCTAGGCAGTGCAAACATTAAATCAGTATTCTAAAAAGCAGTAAGCGGGCTAGGAAGTTGACTGACCTTCTACTCTTCTAGCAGTTAATAACCTAATCAGGGATTAGGCAGAAGCTTAAGAAGAAAAACAAGTTGTTCAAAAGAAATCGGAAAAAGTCAATTAGCCCTCCTTTAATTTCTTGAAACACAAGACTCAAACAGAAAGCTGCTAGTAGAAGCGGTTGGAGACACATAACTCCTAGGATTCCACCTAAGCAGTCAGAATACTAAATTTACTGAACATTAAAATTCTGCAAAACAGTACCTTTAATCATCTTCTTTGATTCGTTAATATCTCCAAATTGTGATAACTCCAGCAGAGCTCCACCCCATTTTGTCAAATTCTGTTATGATCAACCATATTGTCGTTTCTCAGCTCTATAATCACAACAATCGAATTTCTTTGACGAATTTAGCAATACAAGAAGAATCATGATCTGATTGATCTTTAACCAGTCAACCACTAATCACGGGTGAATCATATCAAACATGGTAACTTTATCATCAAAATTAATGGAAATAATAGTCAGTTTGACCATGAACATCGAAAACGATCTTGATGCTGAAAACAAGGACGGAAATATTATTCAATTACCAATGCACTGCTAGACATGTCTTGAACACATATAAATCATTACACTAACGACATAAGAATTACAAGAACAAATCATAAGATACAAGCAACTCACAGATGAACTACTATAACATAAGCAATTTACAGATCATGTTACTAGTGCAAAAAGTACTACCATATCTTAAGTACATCAAACCTCACAAGAAGATCAATATATCAGATTAGAAACAATTCATAAACTTACATCGGCATCGTTAGGGTTCTTGGCGTATGCGGATTCAGCGGTGATACGAGCGTGCTCAAAGATCATGAGTCTTTCTAAATCATTTTGACTTGGTTCCATTATTATAGGATTCCTCTTTTCTTGATTCAACTGTCTAGGGTTTATGAACAAGATGAAACCGCTGGGACGTGTTGCGAGGCGAGGGTTTTATGCGTGCGTGTGTTGTCTTTCAGTTTCACACGTGGTCCACGCATTGGACGGGTAGCCCACTGTTATTGGGCCTCTTCAAAACCCATCACAAAGCCCGTCTAAGGCCCATGACTAATGTCACGAAACAATTTAAGGGTGTAAATAATGCAAGTCAAATATACTCGATTCGAATTCATATTCAAAAACTTGTGATTAATTAAAAACTAAGTTCGACTCGAACTTAATTGTAATTTTTAGACCTCGAACTTGAGGTCGAACTCGTTTGAAGCTCGAACTCGAACTTGAATCAACCTTACCTGTCAAAATTTATGAAGTTTTAGGGTCTTCTCTTATAAATTATAAAGCTTAAAGATGTTCTTTTAAATTTTAAAAAACTAAATGGATTTACCTCGAACTTCATCATTAAAAAGATAAAGTTACAAACTTCATTCACATGCCTCTCTTTTTATAACAACTATTCATCATTCTTTTACTATCTTCCAATGTGGAACAATTTCATCAACACTTTTATAGTTTTTTTTTTTTTGTCTTTTTTAATTATGATTTTAAATAAAAAAAATGTTGATATATATAGTTTTTATAGTTAAAATTGCACAGTATTGTTGAAATATCTAAAAATATAAGACATTTTAGTTACATTATATTATGCATATTGTATAATAAAACTTATTATATTTTTAACACTAATTATATAAATAAATCGAGTATCTCACGAGCTTTTCGAATCGAGTATTGGGTAGCTCGACTCGACTCGTTAATATGTCGAGTCGAGTTCAAGTTTGAGTCGAGTCTATTTGAGTCAAGTATTGATAAAAAGTGACCAACCTACCCTCATTTGAGATAACACTAGTGTCATTTGAGATAACCCTGGTATGGTATCTCGTTTAACAAGCACCACCTTGTATCGTCGTTGTCACCATCGGTGCCGACCACCTCCTTAATCATCATCACCATCACCAGTAACCACCATATAAAATCATCAAATATAATTTGGGGCAAACTTATCCAATCCTGTCATGTTCGGTTCAGTCGTATCTAACAGTACACAAATAACGTGTTATGTCTGGTCATATCCAATGTAATTGTATTATCATATCTGTTTCATCTAATTTTTGAGATCACCATGTTATCGATTAAAATAATATTAAAAAATTCGACAATTTTAGAACTTTGAATAGGAAATCTCGAAGAGAAAAGAAAGGGGAAAGAAATTGTGACCATTTTGCCGTTACGAAGGCCACAATATCTCCCCCAAATCACAGAATCACCATCCACCGCATACCGCGATTCATTTCAACCCTTTACACACACGCCTAAATCCTCTCTCTTTGGGTTCAACAGTAAGTCTTCTACCTTTCATCTGATTATAGTTTAATTGTAACTTCGTGTTTGCGTTTATTCTTGATCGACAAAATTTCATGTGGATATGGAATTGTCTGATTTTCTGGTGATTCTTGTTTATAGGATCTGGTAGAATATATTTTCCTTATTTCCAATCTCTAATCGTGATGTTGATTAGGTTTTCCATAGCAATTGGTAAGTGAAGTTGTTGAATTTTGATTCAATGTCGACATTGTGTCTTTTGTAGTTTATGACCTTTCGGTTCTCATATGGAGAATTTATGGTGATAAATATTTTACTGATAGCAAGTTGTGATGACACAATGTACATTCTGAAGATTTGGAATGTTTGTATTGGAAAGTTAACAGATTGGTGGATCCAATTGGAATGTGATTTTTCTAGGGTTTTGTTCGAATTGATTTATAATGTTATTCTGTGATCCGTAGTCCTGTTGCGTTGTTCCAGTTTCCTGATTTGAAATTTTTATGGCTTGCCCTAATCGATCTAGAATAACAACACCAAATCTCACTGTGTGGCAAATTTTGGCCTCTTTACAAATTTTAGACCAAAATGTTTGTGGCTGATTTTGTTTAGAATACTTAGGCCTTCCATTCTCTAAAGTAGCATTCTTTTGCTTCTTACCTCGGTTTCCAGTTTGACCAGAAATTTCTTACTCTGAACTGAAGAGGGGTTATAATTTTACACCCTTTCTTAGGGGAATTTACCAAACGCCTACTAGGCAAGTGCTAACGGGCAAAAGTCACCATCCTCACTTACCTTTTCGGCTAACATTCTCGGCCATCAAAATGGATTGTTGGTTAGTGTCTGTACCCGGAAAGTGTCTTTACTTGGTAAGCGTTTTTACCGGGTGGGTAAGATTCTCAATCCTTTCCATGCTCACCCGGTATGTTAAGTGATGATTGGTAAGCGGCTAACCTGGTAAGTGTTTGATAAACGGCCCCTTGGTCCTTTTTTTCGCTTAGTTTGCTGTGGTTGGGGCTTAAAGAAAAGTCTCTGAAAAGTATCAGAGATTTACGTGCATTCACCTCCTCAGCTAGTGCAGCTGGTTTCCAAACCATTTTATAGCAAAATGGCATAGTTGGGTACATGCTAAGATGTTGCAAATTTGCAAATTAGAGAACTGTGTGTATTTTCTATGTAGATGTACATATATTTTAAGGTCTTAGCCACGATTGAGAAACCATGTGGCTATTATGAGCACCATAAAAAGCAGGTGTAGGGTTTGTTGGTTTATCTAAGAAGAAACCTTCGCTTATGTTAACGGTTAAGTCCGGACTTTAACTGAACTCTGCTTAGTATTGAGCTATTGAATTGGGCGATCCAAAAATATGTTTGTTTCTTGTCGGATTCAGTGACCACCATCATTCTCACCCTCCTGGTTATGCGTTTCTTGATGGTTTGATAGGAATTCTATTGCTCTTATCTACAATGAATGTTCTCTCTTTCTTCCCTGCAGGGCCGTATTTGTAGTTTAGATATTGTCTTTCTCATCATCCAAATTCCTAAATATAGGTTGTTTAAAGTTCAGTCAAGCATGATATTTGATGCACTGACCTTAGCCTAGAGAAGCACATACATACAATCTGCATCTATGCTGTTACAGCGGTCAAAATACAAAATAGCGGTCATGACCGATATTTGAAATAGTGGTTATAGTGGTGGTATAGCAGTCCAAAAATAGTGGTTTCTATAATATTTTTTAAAATTATATATATAATATATATGTATGTATGCATACATAAACATATCATATGCATTAATCAAAAATATAGTTTCTACATCAAAACCTGAACTGAAACAAGATTCACAAAACAAAATAGGAAAAGTGTTCATAAACTGAGGCTGGAAAAAAGAGCCGACACTATCCAACTTGGGTGACTTGGAAAAAATTTGAAAACCTAACTAAGATGGAAAAAGAAAAGTCGAATAGTATCCAAATAAAGGCCCAAATCTAATGAAAAGGATGCTCTGTTGATGTTAATGGGTTTTCTAAATAAAAGCTCAAGTCAACCCAAAAAAATAAAAGCATAATTCAAAATCGAAAGTTGATAGCGCAGAAATTTGAATGATGCGTCGCCGGCCCAGCCTATAATACAGCTATTGCGGACCGCAATTTAAGCCAAATAGTGGTCAATTGCGCCGCTATTATCAGAAACGCTATTTGGCATTTGTCCGCTAACCGATATTGCGCCTCTGTTTCGCTGCAATTAACAGCATATATCTGCATACTATCTCTACCACCTCTTGTTTATCGGTGCCTAAATATTTGGAATAGAAGTATAAAACTATGTCTGAACTTGATATTCTTAATAGAGATTAAATGATTTCAGTGACCCTCCAAAGTCCAGTATAAATACATAACCACACAATGTAGCTGCCTCAATCTTCAGATTGAGCCCAGATTTTTTATTAATTAGATTTTAATCTGTGTTTGGCAAACTAGCTGAATAACTAGTTGTTGGCTGATAGGTTAGATGTTTGATGATATGCTAGTTACGTATGGTAAAAACTAGCTGATAAGCTAGATGGCAATCGTAAAATGACCTCAAAAGAAAATATAAGAGGCATACTTGGAAAAAAGTGAAAAAAGCCCCTTACCAAGCGGATTTTTTCAATAAGCTCAAAAATTAAGCTAGCTTTATGGTTGCCAAACATGGCCTTGGTGTCAATTATTAGAACTGTTGGTCTCAAAGTATTTCTTCAACATCTCGGCCATGTTTTCCACCTTTTGAGGTTGTGTTTCATCATCAATACTTCCATCCTCATAACTTTGTCAAATTGTCTATAACAACTAACAAACTTCCAAACGATCTGTCGATGCTCTTTATTATTTTATTTAATCTTCTTCTTCCTCTTTGATAGATGGATTGGGAAGGACAAAAGGTAGCAGAGCAACTGATGCAAATAATGCTTGTAGTCTTCGCCATAGGGGGATTCATCACAGGGTATTTCATGGGGTCATTTCAATTGATGCTATTCATATACGCTGGGGGCGTTGTTCTAACTACACTCATCACCATCCCAAATTGGCCGTTCTTTAATCGTCATCCTCTCCAGTGGTTGGATCCAAGTGAGATCGAAAAGCATCCAAAACCACAAGTTACGAGTTCGATTTCAAAGAAGCAGCCCAGTAAGAAGAAGTAGCTCTCCTTAGAATCTTAATCTGCTCTATGCTCATATCAGAAAAAGGAAAAGGAGAATTAACATGTGTTTCTGGTACTTGGATTTTATCAGTTTCCATTGTTTGTGGATTTTCAGCATTGGATTGGAATTGAAAACACCCTTTTTGCTGGATTATGATCATTTCATAACTTGTTTTTGGGTGCTAAATTTTCTGGCGATTAGTGTTGGAACGTGAGAAGTAGAAATGCAGGTTGAGATGAAGATGAAGAATTTCATTTTTCTTACAATTTTATGTTTGCAATTTAAGTTGTTACTAGTATTCGTTCGGATAATTCTGTTTACCTGAACACTTACCCAGTAAGTACTTACCGGTAAAATTCAACACTATTGCTTACTTACCGGATAAGATTTTATTCACTAAAACGCATCATATGCAACAATTAATCCCTGTAAGCGCTAATCATGGTAAGAGTCCTTGTCATCACTTACCGGGTAAAACTTTCGATTATTGCCTTCGCTCTTACCGGGTAAGATTTTTAGTCTTTGCCATATTCATCCGGTAAAGTAAAATGACTTGGTAAGCGCTTACCCGGGTAAACGTTTGGTAACTTAGTTATGTTTCGACCCATTGGATAAGGATATGGACAAACAAAATTTTATCCCAAGTGTTGTCTTTCCATTTTTATATTATTGTTTTTGAAATATTACATTATAATTATATTTAGAATAATATTCACTAAAACAATTAGATATAAAAATAGAGTTATTAGTTACTTATATATTTAAGGTTTAATAATATTTTATCTCTAGATCAAATGATTTTTTTTACCATTTATCGCTATTTTAATGGGTAGGATATGGACAAGGGTTTTATGAAATGGAGGATTACTCATTTGTCTCCCGCCATTTAAAATGGACAGGTAACGGAATAACACATACCCTACCCGTTGTCATCCCTAGTAAAACATCTAAGAAACACAAGTTCGATTTTCAACCTACATTTGTTTGATTTCTATTTTAGGTGACATATTTCTATTTTGTCCTTGTGGTTAGTTAGAAATTGCAATCTTCATCCTTATAGTTTAAAAATTGTGGTTTTAGTCCTTATAGTTTATAATTCATTGATATCTTTCATGAATTACAATTTCTTGTCATTTCAGTCCCAAAAGTTTACAATTCTTTAGTCTTTTGGTACCTTATGCAATAATGATAGGAATTAATTCAGGGACGAAAATAACAATAAATTGCAAACTATAGGGACGAAAATCACAAATTTTAAACTACAAAGATGGAAATCACAATTTTTAAACCACAAGAATGGAAATTAAAATTATTAACAAATCACAGGGACAAAAAATCATAATTTACTCTAAGCAATCCTTAAGGTCAATCATCGTGTATGATGATGGGTATCAATGGAGTTTTTTGTGATACATAAACATTGGTATCAAGTAGTTGGTTCTATAATGGTCAAAATTGTAACAAAGACCTAACATTCACTATATGATTCTGCCATAATTAACAACACCAGCGATGTCCAACCCGTAAAAGGGTGTGCACCTTTGCCGTTACCCTTCTTCTGATCGTATTGTTCCCATAAGTAACCCGTTTGCTTATGGTTCTTCATCACATTTCTGTTGCACAATACGGATGGTTCATAAATGCTTGGAAAGATCAAATTATGTAGTATAATAACTAAAGATTTTTTTTTGAAGTATATAATATTTATATACGGCAAATTCAACAAATAAACTCACACACCCTCCTCACCTAAGGTGAGGTTTGAACCCCTGACCTCCTAGAAGGCTAAGGGCTACGATACCGCTAGGCCAAAGGCCCTTTGGTAATAACTAAAGAATTAGTAATGAACATTGTGGTATATAAGCATACCGGATCAAGTTGCTCCTCAACTCATCGTAAATTGTACCAGCTCGTTCTCTATATGGTCCTTCCTCTACAACAAGAAGTATGGTTAGTTATGGATGACAGTTGAAGTTCTATAAACCAGATCAAACATACCCAGGATATCCCATCCAGAGATGCGGTCTGGGAAAGGTATAATGTAAAGTTAAAGTTCTACAAACCAAACCACGCATACTAAGGTACATCCAACCCTGAGGTAGGATCTGGGGATGGTATGATGCACACAGACTGTACCTCGATGACCCAGGTCATTTAGGTACATAATCTTAAATGAGATTTAATTAAATCCATGATCTCCTCACCTATTAAAAGAAAAATGGCTTCATACCCTTCAGAAGGTCATGATTTATTCAAGAACTATTTAGAAGATTAACCTTCGGATAGATTTGTTTAAATGCATGACCTCTTGACAGATTTTAAGGCGTTCTTGTGTTAGAAAGAGACGTTTTTCTGTTGGGTAGAGGACCTCTCAAATTTGTCAGAAGGTCATGCATTTAAAAGAAATTATGTGAGAGGATCATGCATTTGAAAAAATCTGTCGAAATGCATGCTATTTATAACCTCTTGTTTTCACAAACAAAAAGAGTTGATACCTTTTGAATAATAATGCAGTGACGAAAGGATCAAGTAATTCATGTTCATCCAAATTGGGCCTCTCCAATAAGGTGGGTCATGCTCCGTGTTACGTCTCATGTACATTGAACTGCAAGAAATCAATATGAAAAGCTTAAGTGGTGGTTCTGCTGCTAACATACTTGAAAAGATGTTCATTTCACCTTGTTTTAGAGAGCGAACGCAATCCATAGTTGGTCCACAGGATGCTCGTGTTTGAAATGATGTCAAGCTGTTTTTCTAGGATCCATGATTTCTGTATGTTGATCAACAAATGTAAATGATCCAGGAAGGACGGGATATTAAGAACAACATGCAATAAGCAGAAATAAATGACACATCCATAAGTTGTACCGAAGGGTCGTTGGCCCAGCGGTACGCGGGTTACCAGTAGTGCCCAGTCTCCCAGGAGGTCAAGGGTTCAAACGAGGTGTTTGTGCGAGTATCCATATATAAATGAAAAAAGAAAGTTGATCATTTGATTGTACTTACAGATGGAATGATCTTCCAGATGAAGGGAAAAAGACTGACGTATCCAATATGTGGAACTAGCCCCAATGACGGTTTCTCTAAAACTTCTCGAACAAGTTCTAGACTTGGGACGTTCCCATCTTTCTCCACCAGTTGTCGTCTTAAACGAACCTAAGGATACTTGGTCAATGTAAGAATTTATTATCGTATGTTATGAACAAGTATTCTGAATAAAATTGGTGACTGTTATGGTTAAATGAGAAAAAAAACTGAATATGCATGAGAGAACAGTTAGGGTGCGTTTGATACACCGGACAGGAGAGGACATGGATCACTGTTCCATGTTTGACAGAACTTTTATGTGGAACAAACATGAACAGAGTAGAAGAAGCGTGTTCCACCCCCACCCCATAAAACAAGGTGGAACAGACTTATTTTTTACCAACATAACCTCAAAATAAAACTTAATTCTGTTCTAAAACATCAAATACGTCTTCCTCTTTACATTTTATTCATTCTTTAAATTTTACTTATTGTATTTTATGCTCTTTGAACTTTCACTTTATTGTCCTCAAAATATTATTTTTATATTGTTACTATATTTTGATTAACTTATGTAATTTATTAAATACTAATAACTATTAAAAATATTAAAATAATATAGAAAAGGTATAAAATAAAAACTGGAAACCACATAAACTTTTTATTTTGGTGTCATTTTAATCGTCTTCACGAAAACTCTATAATGATAGATTTTGTTATAAAAAATAAATTACATAATTAATCAAAATATATAAAATATATAAACAACTCATTAGGGGTATATTGGTTATTTTATCTATTATGACATGTCCAGTTCTGTCTTACCAAACGCTGAACAGTTGTTCTGGCATGTCCTATTCTATCTGTGTGGATACCAAACGCACTACAAAAATTGATAATATTAAAAGATCAAAGTTATATGTTGTACAGAAGCTACATCTTAAAGATAATTAGATGAATCAGTATAATCACAAAAATTATGGTAATCTCTCAAGCTACATGCAAGTTTAGGTGATAAAAGAAACAGCGTAAATCTTTGGCAAACTCGTCATCTTTTCTACTTTTTGCAAAGGGATAGTAATTTTGCGGAGAGAAAATGCTTATAAACCTGCATATTTGAAATTATTTCTTTATATTCCTTCTAAGTCTAAGCATTCTATTTCGTGATGGATATTTAATAAGAATAAAGGATACATGGATAGCTTACAAACTCCATTTTTTCTTTGGGCAATCTTGATGGTAAAATTGATGGTTAATAGAGATTTTTTATATCCAAAAAGATTTTGGGTTTACTTTGGGTTGCTGATTGGGTTCTAGGTCTTTTTGGTTGGTTCTACTTTTGGTCAATCATCTCTCTGATAAATACCTACAAATCTTTCCATCCACATAAAAAGTAATTTCCAAACAGATGGACGATATAGAAATTTTCAGATCAAAACAAGATTAATGCTACCATTTTCATTTTTTGAGCAAATAGAAAACATGTGAAATAACAATATTAGAAAATAGAAGTTTTCTGCCAACAATGAAATGAAAGATGGGTTGTTATCAAGAACATCAATATGAAGTAACACAAGAAGACATCTTACCTTTTCCGTGTGATTACCATAATCAAGATAAGCCCCATAGTCTTTGTCGAAGTGCATCTGGAAAACAAGCAAGCACATCTAAGATGGGAGTTAACCTAAGGAACAGGTTATTCAACTAGGCCTGGTAAAATTATATAAAATCACTTGCCGTAATGCTTTAATAACATCAAACACAAATTTAGAAAGTTCAAATAAAAGTAGAGTAACAACATCCCATCGATCAGGGCACCGAATTAAAAATAAAGATTTTTAATAATACGGTCTGCAAACCTTATTAAGAAGATCAAAGTCAGCAAGCAGCTTAGCTGTCTCTCCATATGCCTACAGCAGTTCATTCACCTTTTTTCGGTTAATGTCTAATGGATTGAGTAACTCCAATATTTTTCAGCAAGTGTTCGCACAGTACCTTCCCAGATTCCTTCTTTTTCACAAGCTGCTCTAAGATGGAGTGCATGCAATCTGCCGCAAGAAGCATCCAACATCTAAGATCCAAGTGGCGTTCTTCTTCAGTCGGGTGTGATGCTCGTGGATAGTCATCCAAACCAGAAGATAATGTCTGAGATGCCAAAAAGACGTCGAAGAATAATAGTTGGTTTAGTTTAGTGATGTAAAAAAGGAATATCCACGTATGGTATTTCCTCTCCCCAAAACAAACCACAATATAAAAAAATATTTTACCAACTCCACCCCTAGAGCTGCCAAATCATCAAGCTAAGGGTCTGTTTGTTAGCACCTTAATGAGCTTAATGAGACTCAGATTATTCAGTCAGCTATACATGAATGTTTGGTAGTGGCTTAATGATATAGAAAGTGGCATATTCAGTAAGCTTCTAGGGGGAGATTTATGCAGAAAGCCAAGTTTTTTCAAAATCTGTCCCTCCCAATTAAAAAACACGCTTCTTCCATCTATGAAAGAACTCTCAAGCAAAAACCTTCCCGATCTATATAGACAACTTTATCTATACTGAAAAACCACCTAACAGTCCCTAAATTCTTATCCATGAAATAGCTACCATCATAAGAATATTTCTATTTCTTTCTTTTGCATATGATTATTTTCAGCTCTCTTTTTTTTTTTTTGAGAAAACTAGAATCCATCAAATAAGATTCAAAATTTAATATTGGTTTTCACACAAATATCACGAAAATAAAACTTGTAAGCTTTAATTTAGGCAACTCGGTCAGTAAATCAAGATTGAACAGCGCTAGAATCTTCCTTTTTGCTTAATGCTCAAGATCCTAGTTATTGCCCTAGGTTCACGAAAAACATCAAAGTTCAAAGATGACTTAAAAATCAAGAAACATGATTTCAAGTGGAGAAAATCTAAATTAGAAATGTAAACAAGCTTGGAGAGATACAAGCAACAATATGACCTTCGGATTTAGTTCGAAGATGGTCTGACTCTCTTTCCTTCCATGCCAGTAATAGCTGCTTCTATGCTTGCCTGTCAATTAAATTTTGATTGTCTAATAAACGAATAAAGTTGGAAGTTCAAGATTTGAGATTTTTCATCACTTAAATATACTGAACGTGTTAACTATACATTAATACGTCTTTATGATGCTTACTGTTGATAATGAACAAGGAGAATTGACCTATCAGACACGTTTATCATTGAAGTTGTAATAAGCTCATTATGATAGTGTCTTTTCAAAGAAGTTGCATTACCAATTAACAAAAAGTCATCAACTCACTTTCTAAATTTGTATTGTATTACAAGGGACAAGGTAGAAATCGAGTTTGGGTATATACATCTACTTTCCTAAATAGTTGCTTATGGACATGTAAATTTTTACAGAGACATTTATGATGAGCAAAAGTGGAGTGTTGGAGTATTTCTATTGATCGGTCATGTCATATAGGCCCGAATTGGACATCCAATTGCTTCGATGACGAGACAGATGAAAATGATTAAGCAGATACCAAAACAATCCATGGTTACCTGATTGTGTGGTATTAAACCATTGAAACCAAGCTTCTAGACGACCAAAAGATCTTTCAAAGAAAACAGATATCTCTTTGCTCTCTGTGGCAGAAAATTTGTTTCTCATCACGCCACAAACCACATCTGAAAAGGGAAAGTTCCATTTACAAGTCATATCACGTACGTGGGTTGTATTACAATCTTCCACCATGTGCCAATGGGCAAACAAGACTTACGAAACTAATGATCTGTCACAGGTTTAGCAAACAATTTACTTCATTTACATATACCAATGCTTATCGTTCCATGAAAGGGTGCACATTGCTAGCAGCATCTTTCTGTGTGAAAGTTCATATAAGTCCTGACTTGAAAACTAACTTTGGGGCAAGACATTGGTGAAAACTCTTTTTAACTTGCCGACATAAGTTGTTTAAATAGAAATCATATTAACTATTAAGAACTAATAGCCTTCACACACACCCACAGAATGAAAGAGAAAACAAAATGGACCCTCCAAAATGTAGAGAGCTTGACTACTCTTCACGACAGTAAAGTGCTCTCTGTAAAATATGGTCAACCCTGCATCAACCACTCTCTTTACCTTTCATTTGATTGATATTTGAGTCTTAGAAAATTTTCTTTCTCTTAAACAAAATATAATAACACTTTACCTTGTAGGACTAAAAATAATGTTGGCGGATTTCCATTGCTTGGACGCTGAGCAACAAATTCTTCAGGCACCTTGCTGCATATAGATGAGAAATCATGTTCACATGAATATACTACAATGAACTTGTAGATAGACATGTTTAAGTCCAAGCTAATATTACCTAAGAGCTTCAGCTCCTAAAATTTGTTCACGTGGAATCCAGCCATCAATGTTCATAAGATCTAACCAGTGTCCAATAATATCCAAGGAAATATGCATATCCCATCGCCTATTTATATTCACAGAGAATAGCATCATAAATTGCAACAACAATATATAGCTTAACAGTATACAAATGAAATCTCTACTCCAGCAAGCATACAAAAACTTACAAGAGAACGATCTATTTCAAACTAGTTGGGGTAGGCAAAAATAGAACCCAAAAGAAACTACGAAGAGGTGTGAATATGGAGCAAGGCATGCACAATTCAGAAAGAAGATATAACAATTTGAAGGCAAAAGTATTATCCAACAAACCAGATCAATAGTTGATGAAAACCCTCATCCCATAAGAATCCTCTAGGAAAGAAGGGGCGACTTGGAACAGCAGTATACAGCTCAGCTGGCCAATATAATATAGAATCCCCACCAGATCGATGCTGCTTTACACAGTTATTTACATTGTCAGCCATCCATTTAAGGGACACAAGAAACCAGATAAGTTAGCATCATCAAGGCGTTACATAATCACCAAAGGAGTAGAAAGGAATTCAATTAAGAAATAGTAATGCTTATGCAACCAAAAAGTGCAAGTGTTCAACAATGGGTCTGTTGTTGCTTGTGAAGTATTAAAAATTTGAAAGATATTGTATAATAGCAATATATCCCTGATTTACAGCAGATGGGTACAACTTTTAGGAATATTTAGTACTTTGCAAATCAAATAGTGAACTTTGATGTTCTCCAATTGTCACAAGGTCATAACTCTGGTACACGGCTTACTCACTATCAGTAGTGTTCCATTTCATTAAAAAGACGATTTATTCTGGTTGTCTAGCCCTTCCTTTCTTTAACAGAAGAATGTGTTAAAATGCTTCAGTTTACACACAAAGAACAACACATAACACTTACCATTTGTAACATGGAAACATCTTGGGAAAGCTACCATGTCCGTGGTATATCAATAGCAAATGAACAAGTAATTCTGAAGGAACTCTTCTGGGTTAGTTTCTAACATATTTTCAATCATATGGCTGGAAAGCGAAATTACATACTGGGACTAGGGGGTGGGAGAAGTGGGAGACTAGTGCCTTTTGACCATGTAGCATAAATCATTACAGAAGCTGATGACAACTCATAATCATTGATTGCAATTGCATACTTCTCACAGGAGTAGATGGTGTTACACATGATCTTGTTCAAAAAATCAATATCGTGTGACGTTATTACTTAGTGATGGAATCATACAAACCATATCATGTTCTCAATGAGTCAAACAGGATGATATGAATTGCATAAGATTATTACAACACTGGTTAGCAGTAGCAGAAGCCTGGTCATTTGCCAGCTTCATGATGACCTCAAGTTTAACTAAAAGAAATAATATGCCTCTTCAACAGGCACTTACATCATATGGGATCGTATGTAATCATGATATAGCTTGGCAACGACGTTCAGATTCATGAGCATTTATATTATGTGTATATATATTATATATATATATATATATATATATACAAGGGGAAGAATAATAGACTAACTTACCTTAGAGGGTTGGGGAAACAATATTTTTGATTGGCCATAGAAGTACCCAATTCCTCCTAACAAATTCCCGATAGCAGCCTTACCAACTTCCGCAAATTCTGAATCAAGCTGCAAATAACACATCTTGATTCAGGACTCATTAACATTCATTCATGGTATAGAAGAACCTGCCCAAGAATTTCACATGAAGAATATTTTGAGGCCGAAAGTAATCATCTTTCTCATTTTTTTCCTTCTACAGGCTATAAAGAATGTGTTCAGGTCGTCAGAAATATTGAAGTACTTTGATAACTGATGGATAATTAGATATGGTACCTATCATGAAGTTACCTGAATTGGCTAAATAGCCTACCAACCAAAGAGAAAAAGATTTGCAAACAGTAATTGGAGCTATGTAGTTGCTTAGAGAGATAACTCTATTGAAGCTGAGCACTTGCTCCATGCCGTTCTCACAAATAAGACCGACTTTCCCATTTTATGTTTAGTGATCAGACTTGTCAGAAGAACTAATCCTTTTGAGGGTTCACCTTTAACAGCTTCTTCTACAAAAAAATCTTCCATACAAAATGATGAACCCAATACCTAAAACTTCTCGGAACTGTTTGGGCACCAGAAGGCACCCTCTAATCTTGATGTAGATCAAATTCCTCTATTTACCAACAGCCTATGCAGATATAACACATTTTTAGCAACAAGTAAAATACCAAGGATATCCATAGTGAATTGCTCTAGCAGCTGTAAAAATAGTAGGAGAAGAATGAAAGCTTCACAAGTCATAGCAACCTCAGTGACTATTAACAATGATTTTAGTAATTGAACATATAGCAAACCTTTTTGCGTGTGCTGTTGTGTCTGGATTAAGAACTTCACTTGTAAACACACCCTTGGTGACCTTTATGGTTCTTAGGCAACCAAGTTTGGCACAAAATTTTGTTGATGACACTATATCCAAATTTAGTATAGATGGTAAAGTGTTGATAAACAGAAAGTTTGCATTTCCAGGGTAAAGAAACAAGCAAAATTAAGGCTATTTATGTATCTAACCCACAATACTGAGAAAAAGACAGTAACAGAAGCTTCTGTACAGGATACCTTGTCTGACTGATTAAAGATCTTCTTGAATTTATCATCAAATTCATTTTCCTTCTTATGAAGTTGATTAGTGAGTGATGTACCTACATACATGAAAGAAATACAAACAATATGGAAGTTAGAAGAAAGTTTCTTAACAGCTGCCGATAAAGAAACTACAGTTACAGGTATGAGTTCAAATGATCCATCTGAATCCTACCATACTCAACAGTTCATTAAATCAACCAGAAAGTCAACACAGTAATGCTGTGATACGATGTTCAAACAACATATGAACTGTCCCTCTGATCGTTTCAAGCATTAGATATCCTTCGTACTAGGAAGGTCCATATCCACAATCTAATATCAGAAAGGCTCTAAAAACCACTTCCTGAAACTCTATTTGCACTGCCTCTCATGTGTGTTTCCTTAGCTATCGTCTATGGTTCAATAATGCAAATAATACAATATAACATGAATATAATTGCACTGATAAGCAAGTTGCTAGAAAAACAAACACAGATTTATTTTATCCAACTTAAATACACCTTTTTCCAAAATGTCTTGGCTTTCGCTCTAACAAATATCCATTCACTTGTGCAACAAGATCATTAATTTCGTAAGTGGCATATGATATTATATCTGTTCATCAACCATAATATCCTACCATGTACCAAGAGAAATGGTAATATCAATTTTGTGATTAAGAGACAAGAACATACCTGTGAGGCCATTGACACGTTCTTCAACTTTAGCATCATCAATATCAGTTCCAGTTACAAAAGCAATGTCCGCTCTAAAAGGAGTTGTAGCAGAGATCTGCTAAGACAAAAAAAGGTTGATAAAAACTGAACCTGAGATAAAATTTATTTTGTCTGATGATGATAGTCTTGGATATGATAACAGATATATGAATAATGAACACCACACCTGATAAACTAAAATGTTAGGAGAATTGTCAGATGTGTCTGGAAGCTCCAAATGACCAAAGTTTCTTACCTATCAAAACACAAGGAACCCAATGCCATCATTAACAGAACATGCACTTAATGCAGCTTACGTAAAAGCTGTAAGTAATGTAAAAGATAAGCTTCTAAAGATCCCAATATCGAAGAGATTGTTAGTATTAGTTAAAGTATGTCAGTTGCAAGAAACTAAAACAACATAAGGTCATATATTAGTATATTACTTGTAGTGCAAGGATTCCTTGGACCATATCAGAGAGATTGTGAATGTGAGGCGTCTTGAGACCAACATGGTGGACTTCAAAATCATCCTGGAAACAAGTTGGTCATCAGTACTGGTTTCCTGAAAACTTGAGAAGTTTAAATTCAAAAAATACCAAAGCGTTAGCTCGGCACAAGCAGATTAATAAGATGAACACTATGTTATGTTGAAAAAATGTGAAAAGGAATTTAATTAGAAATTTGGTAAAACAAGAATAGAATATATTGGTTAGCACTAGTGAGACAAAATTGCTATGGTTTTAGTCAAAAGAAAACATATCACTCTCTTAATGCACCTTCAAATGACCTCAAGAAATTGTAGAATTCAATATTACAGTTAAGACAGAGATCTGAATTATGACCACAGCATCCGTAAACAGGACTGGAGTATGGTGCTTTTGTCTGAACTCTGAAGGTATAAGCCATATATGCAGAAATTGTCAAGACTGGTAACTAAATACGTAATTCATGTCTTTAGATGAAAATGTTTCCACTCTAAGAATCACGAAAAAGTTTGAACAGTGACATGCAACATTCAAAGACTTGCAAGCCTGTTAATACAAAAAAGAGTTGACAATATTAAGCTCTATATTTTTCATGATATTACCGATGATTTTAAGTGTAGCTCCCAACCACCGACATCTAGCCGTGATCCAAAAGCCAACATAGACTTCTCATGAATCGCTGTTACACTTCTGCCCAGACTTAGAGCATTTTCACCCTCGTCAGCCACATAAAAGAAAAGATGTGCAGATCCCGGCATTTCTTCATTTAACCTGGTATCAGCAATAAAGCACGTCGATACAGGGTAAATTGCTTGCAGTGTTAGCAATGAGCCATCAAATTCATCCAACCTCTATCTATTGACATGAACAACTCTTATTCCAAAAAGGAAAAATAACAGAACAAGTGTTTGATCTCTAACAACGCATTCATTATCCGAAAAGGGAATCATGAAAATACGTATTTTACATGTTGCAAAGTATACAGAAAAATTCTTAACAAATACTATAGAAAAGAATGTAGGGGAAAATTGTTTATTAACACTTCATATCAGTAATGAAGCATGTATATTATGATTGTTATCTTTTGGATCAGACTTTAATGAATAAGTAAGAGAGCAGATAGGGAATACTCGCCGCTCAAGCTTTACGAAGAAAAACACAAGTCCCAACATAAAGTGTTACTGCAATTCCAACTATCTCATGTGTGTTTTTTCTATTGCACTACAGGACATGCTACATCAAGAGCACTAGGACACTCGAGATAATCCTAGCTAATAACCAATTAAGCGTAAAGTACTCCATCCAGTCCGACATATATTACATTTTAAGTAAAAAAATTCATCGTCAACTAAATTCCTAAAGTAACCTTTTAGCCCTTCACAGTCATTGTCGGTAGACAGAAATATACTATATATTTAAGTGAATGACAGATTATCTAAAGTGGAGTTATATAGCAAGCTACTTTAAAGTTAAAACAGTCTGTGTGCTTGCAAAAACCCTGGAAAACATAGCAGCTATTTCAGTACATACTAACAGAATCGTTTCAGGGAAACAGGTAAGGCTTATACTTCTCAGATTGCACTCCAACTCGAAAAGCCCAGTCTCCTCCATAGCCACTTCCATCAACCTTGGATTTCAAGAAACTTGTGGTCAATGTCATGCCGTGGTCAATCAGAATCTGATGTCCGAAGTCCCTTCCATTATGTTTATTCCAACCATATGTTTGAAGATCATCTGCATCTTGGCAGAAATGTCGCATAAAATATCGTCCATCCTTTACACCAAGCCACATCAACCCAGCAACCAATGATTTTGGAGTCCTGGCAAGTACAACAGATATCATATATCATTAATGATTAAACTACATGAACATCAAAAACTTTCAGCATTGTATAACAATGAATTATACAAAGAAGGATTCGGCAGATAAAAAAAGAATTAGCCACAAGGACTCTCAAAAGTATCTACTCAAAGAATTAATAATTGGAATAGTGTGACAATATCTTATACAACACTGATCTGCAGGGACAAGAATTGGCTTGTATAAAAAGCATTGTTTATTGAAAGATATATCTTGTGTCCTCTCCATGGTCCATATAGTGTAAAAACAATTGATGCCTTCTCCATGTATCAAGTACCACATATTGCACATTTGAAGGAAGAGAATATTGATTAGTATACTAGTCTTTAGTCGTGTTCATTGCCCTTGGTCTAGCCTTTCTCAATGCAATCCATTTCTCAGTTCCATCATCATACAAACAACAGAAGTTACAGTAACATTACTCTATGAATTGAAGGTCACCATAGAGTATGTCAAGACACTTGTTAGTTGACAAGATTAGGATATGAAAGAAGTTAAGGGAGCAAAAGGTCCACTTGTGAATCACAAAGGAATTAGAGACGAAGAAAGCAAAGTGCTTATGATCATTCCAGGCCTAAGATCATGAAACAAGTGAGCAAAGTTTAACATAGGCAATGACATATAATAAGTGTCTTTCCTGTTACATACCCAAGAAACTGATTTCATGCATAGACAAGCGGAAGACACCTTCTTCCTTATGGTGTGGCTGAAATAACCCTCACTTTTTATTTTATGAAGTTAAAAGGCAAAGGTGGCAGGACCAAGTTAGTTAAAATCCTCATGGAATTCTATTAAGTATCACATGACAGTCCCAGTTTTGCCTGGTAATCTATAATGACTATATAACAACTTCATCCACTATTTATCTGGGCATTTACATCCGATATGAGCTAGCTAAAACGACCCAATGGCAGCCGAGGCATACAAGGTTCGGAAAAAGTTTCTAGAGACAGCACCAAGTCATCCTGTCTGTGGGTTGCACTATACATTTTCTACAGACGCTATGCAAATTTAGGAGTTCCGATACTATATAGTATACAGCATTCCAAATTACAAACCACTTGAACCCAGCAGGGGGGAAATCTGACGCAACCTCTGACATAACAAACACCATTCTCTGTCAATCATACCCACCTTACAGGCAAGAATTAGCACTCCTAATAGGAAAACTGCAATTCTAACTGCAACACTACATTTCTTTCACAGAATGCCCCTGTGGTTCCATCTGATCGAAGAAGACGTGCAGCTTTCCATACGGGTTTAAAAACTACTCCATAACTTATAGGATACTACTTATTTACCTGGCTCGGACACCGAAATATAAGTGAGGACGATATGTCCCCCAATATAGGCTCTCCTTATGCTCACCTTGAAACTGCAGACAACAACAATCAAATTCACTCATTAATAAGACGAAGCACAATATTGTCCATATATCAGAATTCATTAACACAGGATATCCTAGCCTCACCATCTCAAGGTCCATGATTTTTGGCGCTGGAAACGGCGTGATAACCCTTGGCAATCGATCATCTCCATCTGCGAACTGAACGGAATGGAAGATAAAAAACAGCGCGACCAATGACGATACAACAGTAAGCCCTAGAAGAAGTTTGAAATTAACATCCAAAATGCGCAGTTGATCTTTGCCTCTCTCCTTCCGTAAAACCTTCCGGTTACGAAGTTCGCGATGATCTTCTCCAGATACAGTGCTGGTAGACGGTTTGATTCTGTTTCTTGCAGTTTTCCGGGCGTCTCCTCCGCTCATTTTTCCGGTGATGTGAGTTCATCCGCCAGCCGGAGCTGAGCAAGGAAGAGCAAGTCAAAAGTCAAAACAGATCACTACTCTCCTCGTATTGTTATTCCGGTCGAACCCACAATGACTCTATAGATCAAAGTGAAAATGCGAACTTTATCAGATCATACGTTAAAATCTTTAAAAAATATTACATTTATTTTTTTTCACAGTTCTCCATTTTAAATATTATAATATTAATTATGCTCTTAAAAATATTTGTTATATTTAATAGAATATTATTTCTTTTTTTTTTAATATTTTAATTTTGAATATTTCTATAGAAGAAATCAATAAGATATTATTTCTAACTCATAAATAATCATGTACATGGAATTCTCTTAGTGAGGGATAGATTGTAAGATCTTACAACGATTAGAATAAAAACAAATATTGTCTTTTAAATAACTAAATATCTACTCTATCATATGCATTAGAACGGTTCTCCAAATATATATATATATATATATATATAAAACAGACAAAATCTTGTACAGTTGCCCGAACCGACACCTAGGAATATACAATCTTGTTGTTTACGACATGCATCACATCTAACTTCACCACGATCGATTATGTGAAACAATTATGCAAAGTTTGTTTCTTTGTATAGACAAACACGACTATAGTAGTCAGAATTGTACCAACCATACAATTCATATTGTATAGCAAGATTATTCTACTACTCTATAACTGAAAACAGGCTTTCCAATTGTTGTCGAAATGGGACACCTTCAAAATCAATCTAAAAATTGAATGCTTTTTCTGAAAAGAAATATATATTTACAAATTTATAATGTCAAAGTTATACCATATTCTATCAATCATATAATACGTTCATTTAATTGCATCAAATATATATACTTGTAGCTTAGAAAATCTTGATGTAATCTGTAGTTTTTGATTCTAGAAAGAAAGGCAATTTAATTTCATCTCCTGTTTGTGACCATTAATCATTAATCATTATGTATAGAAAATTATTCATTATGAATCACACGTTTGTTTAGTTACTGCCTACAACTCCTCAACCTCACTACCATACCAAACTCAAAACACACCAATTTCTAAACAAACACCACTCTTTTCACCCCACAAAAAATGGTCACCAACTTTCTCCTGTTTATGCTACTAAGCATCGGCCCAACAACAACTCAACCCATAAACCCACAAGAAACAACCGGCATCAATGGCGAATGGCAACTCCTACACGAAAACATCGGTATATCACCGACGCACATGCAACTGCTACACAACGACAAAGTCGTTATGTTCGACAGGACGGATTTCGGCCCGTCTAACATCTCGCTTCCTTTCAACCATTGTCGATATGACCCTTTCGATTCCGTGCTCCAAAAGGACTGCACGGCTCACTCGATCCTTTATGATATACGGGCCAACACCTTCCGTCCTTTGTCGATACAGACGGATACATGGTGCTCGTCGGGTGCGGTTCTACCCAACGGGACCTTGGTTCAGACTGGTGGTTACAATGATGGGGACCATACAATCCGCACCATGGTTCCGTGTGACGATGGAACATGTGACTGGATTGAATTCCCTGGGTACTTGAAAGAACGTAGGTGGTTTTCTACCGATCAGTTACTACCGGATGGACGGATTATTATTGTCGGAGGGAGACGACAGTTTAGCTACGAGTTTTACCCTGCGAATCCCCCGGACTACTTTACTTCTGTCAACTCGTCATCTTTCTTGATTGATTTCCTCAGAGGTACGGCGGATTGGGTAACCGAGAACAATTTGTACCCGTTCGTTCACTTATTACCCGATGGAAACTTGTTCATCTTTGCGAACGTTCAATCGGTGGTGTTCGATTACGAGCAAAACAAGGTGGTCAAGCACCTTCCGCCGATCACCGGGGATAATCCTCGAAACTATCCGAGCTCAGGGTCATCGGTTTTGCTTCCTCTAGACGAAAACAATCCAGTTGAAGCCGAAGTAATGATATGCGGCGGAGCTCCACGTGACGCCTTGTTGAAAATCAGAAGATCCCGCAATTTCTCCCGAGCTATTCCTACATGTGGACGCATCAAAGTCAGCAACGAGAAACCGAGTTGGGAGATGGAGACCATGCCAATTGCACGGGTGATGGGCGATATGGTCATTCTCCCAAACGGAGATGTCCTGATTATCAACGGTGCAGGGTCAGGTTTAGCCGGATGGGAAAACGCACAAGATCCGATTACCAGACCGGTGATTTACCACCCGAACAACCCCCAAAATGCCCGATTCTCGGTGATGCAATCCACCACCAGACCTCGACTTTACAACTCGGCCGCCATCTTGGTGACCGACGGACGGATTTTAGTCGGAGGAAGCAACCCTCATATGTTCTACAACTTCACAAATGTGGAGTTCCCTACGGAGCTAAGTTTGGAAGCTTTCTTACCGCCTTACTTAGCCCCAGAATATAATCCCATTCGGCCTGAAATCGTGAAACTGCCAAGTAAAATCAAGTATAAGAAACCGTTAATGGTGACTTTTACAGTTTTGAAGTTCTTAAAGCTATCAAGAGTTACAGTAAGGATTATAGCACCATCATTCACAACTCATTCACTGGGAATGAATCAAAGAATGGTGGTGTTAAAAGAAGATAAAGATGTCTCATTTGTAGGGGGGTCATCCAACAAGACTTACACGATCGGCGTGGTCGGACCATCAACGGCTAAGATTGCACCACCAGGGTATTACCTATTATATCTGGTTCATGCAGGCATACCTAGTCCTGGCATGTGGGTAAAGGTTCAGTAACGACATGCCTATTATCTCAAAATGTTTATTTTGGTCATTTTAGCAAGAATATGAAGGGTAGTTTTGTCATTTTGTAAATGATACCAATGGCTCAAAAGGGTCAATTTAGTATAATAAAAAAACAAACCAAATGAATCCGGTATATCCTACTCAAAGGTAGAGTCTGGGGGTAAGATGTATGCAGACCTGTTCAACAGTAAACACATAAGAAAGCAAATAGAAAATTGTGCAAGAATTTTTGATAAATTACAGCACTCAAGCAACTACATCTTGGCCATTTCTTGTTCCACGGCAGTCGGTTCAACTGGATAGTACGAGTAGTGAAGTTCTCCAACGTCGTCGCCTGATAGCTTGGTCCCGCCTTTTGGGCCCACGTGATACACTGCAATGTAAAACGTCAATCATTTCTAGATCATGAAACACACATTTGGTAGGCATTGAAAGATAAAGTACCGCTAGCAACATCACCACTTACTCCATAATGTTGCATGATAGATGCACCTTCTAGCCAACTCCGCTGCTTCATCGATTGTTATATCATAGTGATACCTAGCGTCTAGACAATATTAACGTCAAAACGAGTAACTTTCTGTCCAAAATAAATGCAGCAATATCACCGTTTGAGGTGTCTTGGAATACATGTTCCATCCCATGGAATGTTTTAACACATCTAAATAAACCAAAAGAACCCGGTATATCCTACACAGAGGTTGGGTGTGAGTGCAAGTGAGAGATGGGAGTGCTCACCCGCTATACGTAGGCATACGGTGAACCAGATCCAACAGAAAATTTAGTACCCTTCAGTCATCCTCCTTCACTGTCCACATAGTACAGGCCAGGGCCCTATAGAATACAAAGGATGCAGCATACTTTAGGACAAACTCAGGCAGGTCCAGCATCAGGCTCTAATGTTCGACCGCATATACCTATTCATCTCATCCAGCAATCATTGTTCCAACAGACAAACCCATTCCACGATAAGAATAAAGGATGTTTGGCAACAGCTTTGAAGCCCCAGTAACTGATATTCTTCTCTTGTTTGCAAGTTCATGCAACCGGCACTGAAATAATCCGAAAAGAAACTTCTGTAAGCACTATAAGACAACTGTTTTTAGCTAGTTAATCTCAATGTCAAGATGATCACGGCCACATTTTTAAGAATTGTGATGGATATCAGAAGGTCATTAGTAGCAATGCCTATCGGCATGCTGAAAATTGTAATACCATTTAGATTTAGACATGTAACTAAAAATATCATACAGACAAAAACCAAGTACGAAAATGGAACTGATAAAACAACACAAGATTACCTTAATACCTAGATTTCTGTGCCAGAACTGGCAATCAGCAGCTCCTCCGGCCATCGTACCCAGCATATAAGGATTCATTTCAATAATTTTCTTAACAGATTGAGATGCTGTGAAAATTAAAATTGAAACGAGCCATTAAATCCTTAAACGCTTTCTAAGTTCTAAACAGATCCAAGCAACCCCCAAATACAAATGGATAACATATTGTGAATTGCCAGTTCTTCAAACAGAGGATACAAAAAAAGTCAGTAATTATACAACAAACGAACAAAAGCCAGGTTATAAGAAGCCAACAGACGTAGAATAGTTCGATGATAATCGGAATTCAGAGGCAATTACGGACCTAAGTAGCTTAAAGAGCAGATGGAGATATGAGCAAGATTAACGTTCGAATCATACCTTTTTTGTATCAAAGCTGGAAACACAGACCGTAAATTCGTCGTGATTCAATTTCACTGGGAAAATGGCTTGAAAACGAAATTTTTGGAGGTTTTCTCGAACAACATTATAACTGGTATTCGGATACCCGGTATGGTTTGACCCGGTTCTTATTTCTTCAAATTTCCATTCGCTAATCGCTGATTCGCTGCTAGTGCAGATATGGGCCAAGATTAGGCCCATTTAAACGTTATTTATTTTATTTTTTGTAATAAGCTTAATCAATTATTCGTTTATCCATTAATTTGTTTAATTTTTGAAAAATGGGTGGTAGTAGCTGAATCGAATAAGTCATCTGTACATATTCAATTGTCTGATTCCAAGCATGTCATAGTAGAAATGTAAATTTTAATTATGGTAATAAATGCATAACTGACAAAGGGTTAGGGTGACGTTATCTAAAAACAATGCAGGTCATGGGTTCGATCTCAAGCCCCCCCCCCCAAGCCTCGGCAGCCAAATGAGTCCAAAAATATTCTCTCACATTGTTATCATTGAAGGCGTTCATATGTGGGACCGGTTAAGATTGCCGATTATCAACTATTTTACCCAAATAAATAGACACATCAACGTCTATAAGTATATTTGTATTCACGTGTTATAAAAATCTATTTGTATCAGTGAAACAACAATAGGGAGCCATTATATGCAACTTTGCAATATAATAATAACGTTTATAACAGAACAACCATATTGGTGTGTGTGAATAATAATACCTTTCGATCATATCTATAAGGATGGTGTTTTGTCTCAAACCGGTGGGGAACCCGACTAACCCGACCCAAACGGGGACGAGGATTCCCCGCTAAAATGGGTCTCGTGCCGGGGATCCCCGATAGACTCAAACCGGGGTCAGGATCCCTGTATACTCAAACTAACGGATATTATTCATGGGGTTTGACCGGGGACGGGATGTTAATCCTCGTACCTGCCGAGCACTGGGGTCGGGAATTACAAAACCCGTCATGTTGCCATGCCTACATATCTATATGCATCATTAGCCTAATTTATGGATCTCTCGGTTTGAGAAAATCAAAAGCATGCCTTACCCATTGAGCTAATAAAGCTTCTTATGTGCCCCTATTAGGCTATATGATTATTGAGACTGTTTCTACTTATAATTATTTGAAATTATTAAATAATCAGTCCAAAACAATCAATTAGTTATCAGGTGTGACAAATTTGATTACCAGAATTCTTATATATCATTGTTTTATGGCAAAATGTTTGTGTGTTTTATTGCATGATATTGTATGTCAGGTGTTATACCTTGTTAGTATGAAAGTTAGTTGGCATGATTAATTGCCATGTTCTTATGTTTTGGGAGTGTATTAATGTTGTAATGTTGTGTAGTATATTTTGGGAATGTCATAATAAACTGCCAGGACACATAATTCAGATGCTATTTTCGTTAAAGTCGTCTGTAAAAATGTTCCGCTACATACTGATTAACTTATGGTGCCATGTTGTTTTGGACTCAAATTATCAAATCAAGTATGTCATGGTCCTACGAAAAAACAGGGGTGTAACAGCAAACGGTGATATGAACTTATCTATTGAATTGCATTTTATTACAATTGTTCATCAGATTACGGGTCTTCAATATTACGTAATCGATATCAAAATACAAATTCAAATAGCAGTTACATTATATTAGAATCACCAAGTTCACAATATATCATACTTAACCCTAATCCCCTTTTAATACAACCATGTCAGCCATTCCTAACACGTGTCAAACGTATCCTCTAATAGCTAAAAAACACTTATAATTACGTAAACAACGTCATTTTAATAAACCAAATATTATAATATACAGTAATTGAATTTTTCAGATAACATCTGAAAAATAAATGAATTCCAAACCAATAATTGTTGCATACATGTGATGCTGCATTGATTGAATTTGTCAAATAATGGAATCTAGACAATGATGTCCCCAAAATTAATGCTCGATTTGTTTAGCTCTTATTAGTTTTTTTTCCAATTTATTTAGTTTGATACACATATTGACACATAGGGGGTGTTTTTTAAAAAAACTCTCTAAATCGTGAGATCTTTAAAACCAGTACATCATGTGTTATTTTATATGATTTTTTTAATATATGGCTAGAATTTAATACAGTGATTAACATACAGTTGTTTCACAATATGTTTGTTTTACATGTGAGCTTTTTTGGTGTGTTTATGAAACAAAAAAATAAAGTTTCACATTGTGAAGTGTGAATCGAATACACATGAACTAAACACATCATGAAACAAATATATGTTGATTAATACAAGATCATATGAAATAAAACTTTAAGGTAGAACTTTTCACGAATCTGATAAATTATTAAACCCCTTTACATATATATATCAATTTCTTATTCCAGTTTTCAAAATTCCAATTACAAGTATATTTACATACAAATATATTCATATAATATTTTTATTATATTACACAACATTTGTGACTTAGTAATATGTTTGAATTTTATAAAACCAGTCGATAAACATTTGTAAATACAAAATAAACATTGAATCATATTAAAACGATAAAATTACTCCATAAAACTCATAACTGATAGAAGACTTTTCTTCTCTTGAACCTAAACGAATCCATAAAATACATAACAGATCTTGAGTTTAATAGCCTCAGTCGCTGAATAACTCAAAAAATATTCCTTTATGTTGATATATTTAGCAGGTTTTGTATAGGAATGGTTGAGATTGAATCGGACGATCGTTTTTAACCAAATTTCTTGGAAGGTAACACATGGGATATGTTTTAATACGTGGAACATTATGATTTGTTTAAAATAATTGGTGGAGGTTTGGCAGGCAAGGGCAGAGGATCTTGGGGTGTGCCACGTTGGAGTGTATTCACACGTGCAAGAGAAGATGGTTTGGCATGATCATTCTTGATTGTTTTTTTCAACTCCTGTCTCCCATGAACCAACCATAAACGTGATCCTTTAATTATTAACCATTATGACATACATATTCATATGCATATACATGTGTATACATATATATATATCCATGTGTATGCATATACATACATATCCATATGCATATACATGTATATAATATATACACGTATATTAATATCCATGTAATGTRAGTTGAATTATTACCTAGTATTCAAGATGAGTTACAAGAATTTCAACATGAGGCAATGAAAGAGGATAAGATTACTTTCGGTTATTAAATGAATCAAAAACTATTTTCTTACATTTTTATTCATGAAGACATATTTAAAAGGTTTTA